AGTATCCCAGCTAGGCATGTCTGAAACAACAGCCTTGGCTGCCCCACCAGCCTTTCCTCTGGAGACACTGTGGGCCTGGTCTCACTTGGTTCCAGGACAGGTGGTGGATGGGAGAAACCTGACCTTTAATGCCTGACACCCTGCACAGTGATGTAGGGCTGGATCCTCTTGCCAGACTTGAGTGGCCTTCCCCTCTGTTCACCACAACATTGAGAAGATCGGTGTCTCTTTGCTGGCCATGATGGGAGACTAGAATGAGACTACAAGGGAGACTCCTGGCTTGTGGACACCTTGTGTGGGCGGCAGTTGGTGGGGCAAGGCGGGCAGGCAAAGCTCCATACTTTACACTTCATTTCTCTTTACATCTCCATTGTTTCATTTCCTAGTCTCTGTTACCTCTCCTTTACTCTAGCATGCTTTGTAGGAAGACTGCTGGTTTGGGATGTGGAGACTCTTTCCAAAATGCTCTCTGCTGACTCTGTCAGTGGCACACACGAGCGGAGTCCCTGAAGCACCATGGGGTGGGGGTGGGGTTTCCAATATTTCTCTAATTACCTCCCAAGATGATTTACAGAAGGTCACAGATTCTCCTTATGGAGTTTGTCTACTTCCAAGAGAAGGCAGAGAGCTTGGCTAACACAAGAGTGGAAGCGTGACTCCCAAAAGCTTGGTTTACCTGGGATGCCATTTATACTTTTGTAGCCTTTCTGGGTGACAGGCAGGGAACTTGGCTTCCGGTAGGTAGAGCAGGCCTCTAGGCTGGTGTGGCAAGGCACTTTGTCAGGGAACTCCTCCTGGGGGGGGTTTCCACTAAACCATGTAGCAGGGAAGCCATAGCATCTTCTATAGCCCTACAACTCTGCTGGCCGGCCCCAGGCCCACATCAGCTGCCTGTGGACTCGCAGAGGCAGCAGTGTGGGAAGGCATCAAAAGCTGGCTGGACAAAGAACAACTACACCTGCTTCCTGGCTCTCCAACCTCTCCAAGATCCTGCGTCTCTTTGCTACCATGAGTTTGCTTGAATCCGGGTCTGGAGCTCACTTACCAGTGTTCACTCTGTGGGCTCCCACCCTGGAGAAGTAATTCCTCTTGGAGAAGACTAAACCCATTTTTCAAAGCTTGCCTGGGAAGGACCTTGGACAGTCACTGAAGCCAGTCCCATAGCATAGGCAAAATGGTACCCAGAAAGGTCAAGTCTCTCTGGACTCTTAAGTTCCAGGCACTGCTGTTGCCTGACCATAGGAGAAGGATCAAATGCATGCTGCCTTGTTAGGCCCATCCTAGGTATATCCCTGAGGGCAGACAATCTCCATGAACATGGTCCTTGAATCAGAACTCAGAGTAAGGAGAATTTCCCATGACTGATCCTGGCTGTTTCTCAACCCCCATATCCTATCCTTCCACTTAGTCTTCGGCTCCACTGCCCTCCTCCACTTCAACATTTATTTACAACTCCCAGTGGAACTCTAATGCCTCCAAGTGGGTAACATTGGGTCCCATCCCACCAACTGCCATTCTTTTATTGGAGACTTTCTTGGGATGGTCTGAACTGATCTAACTGTGTGTGTTTGCCTAGGTTTTTGCAGGGAGAGGCTGTCTCTTCCACTAGAATTTAACACCACAAGAACAGAAAACCTGTCTGTTTAGCTTGACACTATTTCCCCAGTGTCCAGCATGTGACAGTTACTCAATAAACATATGCCAAAGAAATCCGTGTCTAACAGCAGGGACAGCCTTAACTCACCTGCAAATGCTTTGCTAAGGATGATAAGCAGGTCTTTCTCAGTGAAAGAGAAGGAAACAGCTCCTATTGATGCCTTGGGGCATCATTTAGTTGACTACCTCCTTGAGGAGGATGTTGTCATTTGGCTCTTGTTCCCTTCCACAGAATTCTTCTGAGTTCAGATAGCTCAGATCATGTTGTGTGAAGTCACATAACCAAGAAACAACTTACTCTTCAATGTAGCACACAGGCTTAAAACCCGATTCTTAACTCAAGGCAGGTATTTGCAGTAGTGTAGGATATTGATTCATCTCCTCTTCTCTGGGGAGGCCTTGTGCCATAACTTAAATGTGTGGGGCCATGACACATGCCTAATTCTTGCCACTCCCTGCTCTCAGACAACCCTATGCCATTCCCCATTGTCCCCATAGCTGATTCCCATGGCAGTTCTTGTTCAATAGAAATACAAGGCAAAGATTATTAGTAACTACACTGAAATGGTGAAGAAGGGGATATTTTCACAATATAATTTAACTCTGTACTGCAATGTCATCATTTCAACATGTTGTCAACATAAAATTACCAGTAACATATAGTTATACATTGCAAAATGATGTTTTGATGGAAGAGCAATTGTGTATATGATGGTGGTCTCATAAGATTATCTTTTCTAATGATGTCATGGCCATGTTAGGTGTAAGTACACTCTCATTTTCGGAAACAGTGAAATCAGCTAACTATATCCCTCAGAGCTTTCCATATTGCTAATGCTTGATTATATTTTATGGATATTTTAAATCCTTTAAAGCCAGTGTGTATTCTACACTAATGATACATGCTGTATTAACTACCTGCATATTCTATGGTTGGAAGCCATGTGTAGTTGATGGCTACCATACCAAGCAACTCAGTTCTAGAGTCTCTGTTAATAAACCTGGTTTTGTGGCAATGGCTTGACCATGAGGTCCAGGTTTTGTTAGGGACCAAGTAAAGCCAAGAGCACCTGCTATTCTTGGTGGTGTGAGGCAGTTGGGTTGGGGCTGAGGACAAAGATTTCTGATGACGCTGGAGGGTAAAGACGGGTAGGGGTGTTGGAAGCCATGGAGGTCCTGATTGAGTGCTTTTAATGTCTTCTAAACCATCTTTGATACTGGCAGGTATTGGAGTGGATGGGCAAGCTTCGAGACCCAGGCTGGAGTTCTCTGGGGAGCCAGGTCCCCTTCCATCATAGCCAGTGGTGCCCATCTGTGACTCACTTCTTAATGATTAGAGAAGCTAATTATTTTTTAATTCCAACTTTTCAACATGAAGATTTCAAAAATTAAGAAGCGATAAACACAATTCTGCATGTGCATCTTCTAGCGTTTCTGAGTCCTCAGCAAGAGTGTGAAGAAAGGCACACGTTTCCCAGCGACCTCTTTGAAGAGCACTTGTGGATTTTCTGTCTTCCTCCCCTTTTGCTTCTCATGCTCCAATTAGCTGTGTGATCACCTAACAGTGTTTTGATCTGGACTGTATTTTTGGTTTTAATGACAAGCATTTTGTACCTTCGACTCTTTGTGAAAAGTAAGATAAATTACCTCTATTTTTCTCCCCGTTGATCAGTTACACACAGGCTCTGCAAACAAAATGATCAGAGTTTTTACTTATAGATGCCTAGTTCCTGACTTTTGAACAAAATGTCATTACTCACTTGCTTCTCTGATGGGGAAACCAAGGACTTGAACAATTACTGAACTTCTCCAGTTGACTCATTAAAATTAAAAAAAAAAAAACAACAACGGGGATTTTTTTCCTAATGAAAATATATTGTTCTGTTGAGTACTGTGGTTGCTAAAATTCATTTGTGATGAGATTAAGTCTATGAAATGTGCAAATTTTGTAAGGAAGACACTTCACTTTGAAGTCACAACTATTCTGTATTCTGAAATGTTGTATGCACTTGTGTTCTAATTTTCATTGATATGACAAAATATCTGATATTAACAAAATAAAAGGGAAGGGTTATTTCTTTTGCCTTACTGTTTCAGAGGGTTTGGTCCATAGCCCTTGGTTCTGTTGCTTCTGGACCCACAGTAAGGCAGAGTATCATGATGGTAGTGTGTGGCCAAGGCTGCTCATCTCATGGCATCAGGAATCAGAGAGAGAGAGAGAGAGAGAGAGAGAGAGAGAGAGAGAGAGAGAGAGAGAGAGAGAGAGGAGGAGAGAAAGATGAGATAGAGAGACAGAGATAGACACACAGAGACAGAGAATGTCAGCTCAAGCTCACTTTCTCCCTTCCCCCCTTCTATTCCATCTTGGCCCACAGCCCTCAGGATGGTGCTGCCAGATTTAGGGCCTGTCTTTCCCCCATTAGCGAATCTTTGCCGAGCTCCTCAGAGAATCACCCAAAATGCACTTTCTTCTCAATCCAATCAAATTAATCATAAAGAGCAAGCATCATAGTACTCAAGAACTACTACCATTACTACTATCCATTATTGTTGTTGTTATTATTTTACCACACTGGGGATCAGTCCTAGGGCCTTGCACACACTAGGCAAGTACTCTACTGCTGAGTGACATCCCTAGACCTAGAACGACTTTTGAATGAAGGGATAAGTTGCATCATCTTATCATTTAGTTTTATTTAGATGTGAAATTGCTTTTGGGGGTTAAAATGCTTTTAAGCTTATCTGGGCAGTGGTAGTGTGTGCTTTTAATCCCGGTACTCAGGAGGCAGAGGCAGGTGGATCTCTGTGAGTTCAAGGCCAGCCTGGGCTACAGAGCAAGTTCCATGACAGGCTCCAAAGCTACACAGAAAAACTCTGTCTTGAAACCCCCCCCCAAAAAAATGTTTTTAAGTTTAATATTCAAAATTATTTCTCATATTAGGCATTCCTAAATAACGAGTTATTTTGGAGAAAATTCAAAACAAATGCAAATCCCCCCCCCACATCTTCTGCCATTGTCTCTGTATGTTTCAGAGATCTATTCAGGCACACATAATCCACATCACCCTTTTGTACTATTACTTCCTGGTTGGTGATGAGGCTGGGTCATTATGGAGCTAGTCAGTGCTGTAACCACATAAAGGCTTAGCTGTTCTGAGATGTGATGTAAGGTGTACCTCTGCCTGCTGCCTCAGAACTTCATTGCTGTTTCTCTAATTTGATGTTGAGCAGTGAGTTTGAAGCTGATAGAACTGTCCAATTGAAGTTCTCTTTAACATTGCCAAAACACTTGATAAAGTAAAGTCACAGTTCACACCTACTACCCATCTGTCCATAGCCTTGCCTACATCGAATATTAACGAACATTTGCTCTTATCAGACTATTGAGTGAAAATTAGATTTATTTTATTTTGGAGAGGTAAACATAATAAATTATTATTGTAAATATATGCAAAATAGTGAATATTATATGCATCTATACACATCATTTGAATACAAATTATTAAACAATACCCCAGTACCTAGTACTGAGTTGCATATTAATATTCTCTTAGGAGCATTGTCTGTGGCCTTTCCCAGTTGTGTCCCAGTAGTCTGTTCATTTTCACTCCAGTAAATGAGTATGCCATGATTTATTTTTCTTGATTTTTATTTTTATTCCTTCATTTTTTTTTCATGATTTTATTTTATTATCACCACAGTGATGAGCATTTGGGTGGTTTCTTTCTTTTGCATAATGCCACGGTGTGCCTATTATCTTTCTTGTATATGTCTCCTGGTGGCCATGCACAGGAGAGTTGCAAGGTACATGTAGTCATGAGATTGCTGAGGCTTAGGATACAGCTGAGAGCTCCAGGTATCAATCAAAATGTCATCAGGGTACAACAGACTCCTAGTTCTCCATCAGAATGTCTTCCTGCTTCTTCCCACGTTTCCTAGGCTCCCTTTCTGCTGAGGACCTTTAACAGCTTCCCATTCTGCTGCTGCTCAATCAGAGCCCATGACAGACAGTGTGCTTCCTCCACGCTCCCTCCTCATTAGTCAAAACCCAATGGTGCTCAGTGGTCCACCTTCAACTTTGCAGAAAAAAGCCTAGGAAAGAACTGCATCCCCCCCAAAGCTGGGAGAATCAGAGTTACCCAAGTAGCCCAGACTGTGAGAGTCAGAAGTGAGATGTGTGAGAAAAAGAAACTTTTTTCCCTCGAAGCCACGTCTTGTTCTTCTTCCAGCCAGCACCTCACTGTAATTAAGGCAATGGGAAGCACGCGTTTCCAAAGCTCCGGGGAGTGATGGCCTCCTCCTTTCCAAAGCATTTGAACTGACTAACACTCCCACGGGCACCTCGTGACAGCTCCCATTGCTGCATGTCCTACCAGTTCTCCTTATTCCTACTTGATGATTTCTGCCTGGCAGTAGGTGAGAAGTATCATTGTGGTGTTGTTTTCATCTAGACATCTCTGCAGATATTGTTAGGGCATTTGTATTTTATCTGAAGTGTCTGTCTGAATTTCTTGCTCCCCTTTTTAATATCTTCTTTTATTGTGGTCACACATTATCATCATACAGAATTTGAATTGAAATCTTTCTAAGTGTAAAATTCAGCACCATTAATTACATGCACAGTGTTGTGCAGGCATCACCACCATCTATTTCCGAAACTCTTTTGTCACCCTGCATAGACACTGTTTGTTCACTAAGCTGTACCTCCTGATCATCCCCCGATCATCACCCTCCCCCCACCCCCTGCACTGCAAGTCCCTGGCAAGCTCTCATCTGTTCACAGTGTCTATGAGTTTGCCAACTTGAAATATTTCTTATCTGTGGAATCATACAATATTTGTTCTTTTGGATGTGGCTTAAAAATATGGAAGGTGCCACAAATTTGCATGACATCTTAGCATGGGAACCATTCTAATCTCTACATGGTTCAAATTTTAGTGAGTGAACTGCCAAGTGAACGCTTGGATGGTTTTAAACAGATATTTCTTATTGGTTCATAGAAATTCTTTATATATTGTGGATGATAGTACCTTCTTTTTTTTAAAAGTAGGGTCTAAATCTTTTCTCCCACTGTGAGACTTGACTGTTTCTGCTGTTTTTCAACCACTTTCCCTTTTTCTGGCTAAGCACAGCTGTACTTTCCTTCAGTCTCTATTTTCGGTACCTTTAGGAAATCTCCCTCATTATCCTTGCCTCATTAAGTATTCTAGAATATTTTCTTCAAAAATATTTTAACATTTCACATTTAAACATTTGTTTTCAATATGCCTGAAGTTGATTACATTTGGTGTGGGACAGAAACTCAATCACAGTTTCTAAATGCTCTCAGCAACATTTATTGGTGGCTTATCTAGCCTTGATATTTATTACGCTTCCCTGGAGGGTGAGTTTTCTATATATGCATTGGTGCTAAATCACCATGTGAATTCTGTATTTTTTTAATTATGGGCATTGTAAGTTTCAAAACCTGGCAGAAGCCTCCCACTCTGGTTTATTCCAGTTTGTTCTGCTTAGTCCTATCTTTTGCCTTTGAAGTTTATGATTAAATTGCCAAATTCCTCAAAAAATACAATGGGTATATTCTACACTTGAGCTAAATTTCCAGCTAATGTTGGGGAAAGTGGCTACAAGTTCTCTCCTTTTGAGCCTAGTTTGGCTCCTTGGTTCTTCTAAATATATTAATAAAGCTTTTACAATGTGTCCACGTAGGCTTCCTGAAGCTTTCTAAAGAAAGTGTTCTTCTAAATATGCTTTAGATTCATGTCAAGAAATGTCTGAGCTTTACAAATTGATACTAAAATGCTATATTGTTAAAATGACTTGATTTTGATGCTGAAAAAAAGCTGTTTTTAAAAATATATTAACTTTGTAACCAGCAGCTTTGGCGATGCCTTGTGTGGTCTGATGATTTATCTGTCCAGCCACGTGAGTTTTCGATGTATCAACTAACTGTCACCCAAGGTGGACATCTTCCCTCCCCTACATCATCCATTGCTTTTCCATATGGTCAAATGGCTAGCAGACGCCTGCAGTAGAGTGCTGAGTAGTGGTCAGGAGAGGAAGCATCATTCTTTCCTACCCATAGAGGGGACACTGAGGATTCCTTGGATAACAGGACATTCGATCTGGAGTTTTGTATGTGTTCTATCCCAATAAAGTTTCTGTTCTTCTCCACTCATTTATTGAGATGCTATGAATTGAACTCAGTCTCTCATACACACTAGGCAAGTGCCCTACTTCTGAGTTATATTCCCAGCTCTTTTATTCAATATTTTTAAAGTTCATTCTGCATTTTTATCAAAGTTTGGTCTCAGGCTCTTGAGATGACCATATGTGTTTTGTCTTTTAGTCAGTCAGTGAAGTGAATATATTTCTCTAAAATTGGACCATTCTTTCTGTCCTGGGACAAGCCCAACGGCACTGTATCTCCACCTCCTGACAAGGTTTGGGAGTCACACTGTTCAATGTTTGTAGTAGAATTCACTAGCAAAACGTTTAGACTTAATGTTGTTTCCTTTTTTGGAGCCTAGTAGATTTAAATTGCTGATTCAAATCCTTTCATGGTAATCACTCTACTCAACTATTTTCATTTTTTTTTTGGTGTGAATCAGATTTTATACACTGTATTTTCTTCTCAAGAAACATTACTATTTCATTCAAGTGGCATAGTATTTCAAAGTTTACTTTGCATGCATATGCCCCTTTCATCCCTAATATTGATTTTTGTTGTGTCTTATTACATACCCTATTTCTGGCAAACTAGCTCAATCTTATTAGAAAAGTCTTATCTCAAAAATAAAATAAGATAAAATAAAATAAAAGGGGTTGACAGTGAGAAACAGAGTTTTGCCATGTAGCCCAGCATGGCCTGGGACCCCAAATCTTCTATTCTCTATCCTGAGTGCTGGGATTGAAGCCACAGAGTAGTACACAGCAGTGTCCAGCTTGGAAGACTTAAAAAAAAAAATAGCTTCTCTTCCTTAGCGTGAACTTTGAAATATGAGGATCTTGTTAATAATTCATTCCCTATTCCTGTAATTGTGTGTATTTATCCTCCTGTTGCTTATTTCCACACAGTTAATTGCAGCCCTCTTGCCTTTTCTGAGCTCCCAGTGAGCTGCTTTGAGCCTTCCGGTTGGTTTTCCAGATGTTCCAGTGCATGGTATGAAATGTTTCTGTCGTCGTCGCCTTCTATATCCTTCCTGTTCCCATCATAACTCCTCTCCAGTTTCTTCTGTTATTGATTTTTAATTGGATGGCTTTGAGGTCAAGCGACACTCACCAGGTGGCAAGCCATTTGGTCTTTATTGCAATTTGTGGCCTCATAAGCAGTCAGTCTTCACAATGTATCAATAACAAGAGGAGGCCTGGTAAAATTACTCTCTCTATTGACAGATCTATCAGCTCCTCCTTGAAAATCTGCCCGTTTTTAGGCTATACCTTAGCTACACAGAAATTCAGATTCGTGTGTCTTTCTCAAACAATTAGCTCTTTATTATTATGTAGTGACCTTCTTCATTATTCATGATGCCTTTTCCATAATATTTATTCTGTTTGGTATTAATCCAGTGGTGCCAGCTTTTTAAAAATAATATTTGCCTATTGTATTTTTCTCTTATCCATTTACTTTGAATACATGTGAGTCATTATGGCTTTAGATATGTTTTCTTTTAAACGGTAGATAATGGATTTCTTTGTAGTCCATCTGATGTTCGTCCTTTAGAATGATGAGCTTACCACACAGTATTTGTTCTCATCGCTAGTGTGTTTGGACTTAATTCCATTATCTTCTCTCATGTTTTATGTCTACATTACCCAACCCCCACTTTCCTCCTTTCCACAGTATTGATTAACTTTCATTATCCCTCTTTGCTCCCACTGTTTATTTGGAAGTGGACACCATTAATACTTCAGGCATGGCTGGTTTATAACATATAAAAGTATTCAATATTTCTGCATCATCTCAGAATGGTTCTACTGTGTACAAAATTCTGGCTCTTTAACTCTCATATCAAACTGCTCTATTTTTCTTCTGCATTTTAGTGACATCTTACTGTTGCCAATCCCAATCCTTTATCCACTCAACAGTTCCTTTACTCAAGTTTCTCTCTCCTCTGACTTTGTTATTCTTCATTTACTTTATTTTTTTAAAAAACATGACTTATGATTTATATGTGGATGTTTTCCTGCATATGTGTGTGTGTGCGTGTGCGTGTGCGTGTGTGTGTGTGTACCATGTGCATGCAGTGCCCACAGAGGACAGAAGAGGGTGTTGGATCCCCTGGGAGTTATGGATGTTGTGAGCTGCCATGTGAGTGCTGGGAACAGAACTGGGGTCCTCTGGAAGAGCAGCCAGAGCTCTTAACTGCTGAGCCATCTCTCCAGCCCGTCATTTGTTTTCTCATTCCTTGAATAGTTGACTTGCTGGACCTCTTCCAGACAGTAACTTGGTGGTACATTTCTTCAGTCTTGTTTGAAAAGTCTTCTTTTTACTCTTAGTTGGAAATCAAAATTCAGACAGATCTAGGATTTTAGGGCATACATATTAAAGCATAAAATTATATATATATATATATATATATATATATATATATATAATTTTATTTTCTTTCTGCATTTACATTTTGCTGCTGGAAGCCTGTCATTTCTGCATATCTTTTAGTCAAGATTCGATTCATTCACATTTGTTATTGGAAGTATTTCTGAATTTCTTATAAAATTTTATTGCTCAAATGGAAACTTTCTCTTGGTTTATTTATGCTTTTTTCCCAATTCTCCTTTTAACAAAAGGGTGACATTTTGCTTTTATTGTCTCCAATATTTTCAAAAGTGTTTCTCTACCTCTTTACGGTATATTTGTAGAAACCTTTTGAAAACCACGTTTAAATTTTAAACAATATTTACCTTTTAAAGCAATTACAGTGTTTGCCAGATGCTCAAATGGAAACATTTCTGAGTCCTCCCTGAGTGTAGCAGGGACCTCAGGTTGCTTGGTCAACACCCCCTTCCTTTGCTCTCTGGTCTTGATTTCAAAAAATCTGAACACACAGAGTTAGGTTTCAGTAATTAGAATTTTAAGAATATATATATTCTTTTTTGATTTGAGACATTTTATTTCAGTTTAAGAGGACACAAAATCAACACAACTGGTCTTTCTTCACATCAATAACAACCAACCTGGAAAATAAATAGAGAAAAGACTCCCATTAACAATTAAGAATAAAACACTTGGGAATCAATTCAACTCTAGAGATGAAAGATCTATGCACTAAAGACTATAAATGCTAATAAAAGAAACCAAAGAAGACACAAATATATGGAGAAATAGCCTATATTCACAGATTGAAAGAATGAATAATGTTGCAATATACATAATATCCAAAGTAATATATAGCTCCAGCATACGCTCTGTCAAGATTCCACCCCAAATTCATCATGGAAATAGGAGAGAAAAAAGATTCTTAAATGTGCATGGAACCACAAAAGGCCCAAGATATCTGAGGCAATCTTTAGCAAAACAGAAGGAAGTCAGAAGCACCATATTTCCTGGTTTCAAATTGCCTGACAATTTATAGTGATTGAAACAGTATGGCTTAGGACTTGCTTGTGGTTTAGTGTTATCAACACATGCACAGAGACCGACAAAACAGAGCAGGACATTTAGACATAAGCTCGTGTGAGTATGGGCTTCTCAGTGTGGACAGACACACTAAGAAAGCAACTATGGGATTTCTTTAACAAGTAGTGCTGAGAAAATGGGTTCTACACATGCAAGTACATGAATCGGGAACCTTTTTTTACACCACATAAAATTTAGCTTGAAATGAATTACCATCCCAAATGTAGACCTGGAACTCTAAAGAAAACAGGGTAAAAAACAACTCCTTGGCAGTGATGATCTTGGCAATGAATTCCTCAGTCAACTGAAGTAAAAACAAATATCTGGAATGAGAACAAACTAAAGAGTTTTGTACAGAAAAGAAAAGAACACAGTGAGGAGGTGGCCCAGAGACTGGAAGAAAGATTCACAAACTGAGTGTTAATAAAATGGTTAATTTCCACAGTAGGCAAGGGGCTTACCCAACTCTGTGGCAAGAAAACAGAACCAAAAGATACCCCTCAACTAAACAAGGGGGCATGAGTTGAGTAGTCATTTTCTTCAAGGAAGACGTAAGAATGGCCAGCAAGGACTGGGAAGATGGTTCAGTTGGTGAAATACTTGTTATAAAAGTATGTTGAGTTTGAGCCACAGAACCTCCATTAAACAGACAAACCAACCAACCAACCAACCAACCAACCAACCAACCAAACCAAACCAAACCAAACCAAAACAACAAAACAGAGTCCAGTGGTACGTACCTGTAATCCCAGCACTGGAGAGGCAGAGAGAAGCGGATCCTGGGGGCTCCCTGGCCAGTTAGTAAAGATGATTCAGTGAGCACTAGGTTCTGTGAGGAACCCTGTGTCTCTCATATACACCAAAAGAGAAAGTGGAGCATGCCTCCACGCAGGTTCACTTATTCCCCACCCTCAAAGGGTCAGTGAGTGAAAAGATACTCAAGTTACCAGTAAGGAGATGAGAATCAAATCCATGATGGGACAATGAGGTATCACCTCACGCAGTAATGGGAGCTGTCCAAAAGAAGGACAAGAGACAGCAAGCGATGGTAGGAGCAGCAGAAAAGAGGTTCCTCAAATGTCTAAAAATAAAGCCACAACATCAGCTAGAATCCCTCTTCTGGTTTTATACTCAGGGGAAATGAAAGCTGCACCTTACAGAGATGTCTGCACTCTGGTGCTCACACAGCATTATTCGTAATAGGAAAGACATTAAAACAACTCATGTCCATCAACTGATAATAATGAAATTATGTTTATATATAATGAATTATTGTTCAGCCTTGAAAAAGGAGATTTTGCTACTTGTTACAGAATAAATAAACCCAGAGGATATTAAGTGAAAAAAAAAAACACATGTAGGGGAGGGAGACTATTGCATGATCTTGCTTGTATATGGAATAGAAAGTTAAAAAAAATACATAGAACAGTTAAAATGGCGGATGCTGTTGGAGCAAGAGGGAAAGAGACTCATCTCAAAGAGTGTAACATTGCAGTTCCATAGGATGAATGAAAAGCTAAAACTAGTGTACAAGCAGATTTCTAATGTACAACACCAAACTTCCTCTCTTTATCAACTGAAATAAATCTTCAGGCATTTATTTTTTCTAAACACTTACACATTTTCTGACACCTGAAACATAACTAAAAAGTGTTTGTTGCCTTCAGTTAGCTGGGCACACTCTTTCTGTAACACCAATTTTCACTCCTAAAACAAAACAACATAGCCCCAATCACACAAATGCTCTTATTTTCTTTGAATTTACCGTTCTGAAACTAGTATTTATGCTACTGTAAGTAACAGACATGCTTTCCTTCATTTTCTAAACAGTCTGTCTGATTGTGATTGTGTTTGTGTGTGTGTTTGTCCTTGGGTAGGTGTAAGATTTCTTTATAGCTGTGTGGAATCTGAAATGCTGGTTCAGAGAGTAAAGACACTGGCCACCAAGCTTGACAACCTGACTTCTGTCCCCAGGACCTACATGATGGGAGGAGAGAACTGTCTAAGGCAAGTTGTTCTCTGATCTCCATATGCATGCTGTGACATGTATCCCCTCCCCTAAATAAATAAACATATGTAATGAAATTTTTTCTAAGTACTTAACGTGGTTCAAAAACACCTAGGTGTGACTATCACATTGCTACTCAGCAAAGAAAAGTTATATTCTTTCATAGTTGTGTCAGTTTTCATGGTGTTTGCATAGGTGCCTCTTTTAGGAACTTCTGACTGTTCTGGGGATTGTTCCAGGACCCCTGAAACTCTCCATCTTCTTGCAAGCAGCTAGTTCAATTTTACATATGTTGGTTCTCCCTTTTCTGTTCCCAGTGTGTTTTGTATTCTCTACTTTCTTTGTGGGCCTTCCTAGGAAGACTTTTCCACGTCATCCAGTCAATGCTCAGCAGAAACACATCTGCTCTTACTGAGATATCCATATGGAAATGAATTCTGTTTCCTTAAAACCCTTCTCTGTCTCTTGATCTATTTCATGACCAAGGGAGCTCCCTCGCTGGCTATGTTGTTACCCTTTCCTGTTATCTCACTCTCTTGCCTTTGGAGTTTATGTCTTCTGAGTGTCAAGAAGTTCCCTGGAAGTTTCTCTAGAGTTCACAGAACATCTACTTCAGTGGGTACCCCCCAAACTTGGGTCTTAAGGTACTGCTCTTGTTCTCTCATCCTTCCTCAGGCCATCCTCAGCCCTCTTCCTTTCCTCAAGGAGGAAGTCACTACTTTGGAGTGGATTCTGTGAGGCAGGATGAGTGGGTTGACCTCTATTCCTCAGCCTGCCTACTGGCTTGATGTAGGCCTATGGTTGGAGGGCCAGTAGTGTTCACCTGTCAGCTACTTCACAGAGGCGAGTGTGCTCTACTGAGCTTCCTCCACCCTCCATCCTACCCCTCTGGTACTCTGACCTAATGTGTGTCACAGGATAAAGCTATTTAATAAGATGCATAATCATTACTACTGTGTCTACTCCAGTCAATTGACTGTTATTTGATTCAGAAATGAACTGTGTCTTTCTGAGCTAGTCCACCTGCCCAGTTGCCTCTCTCATTTTAAAGGTTTTCTTTGGAATAAGAAGACACTGAGTGTTAATCTATGGATATAACAATGAGTTATAAGTTTAAATACTATGTCCATTTACCAAATAATAGTAATATATAGAATATAATATTTTCTCCTGGGGCTTATAACCTGTCTAGTTGTAGGTTCTTGGTTGGGTAATGGTGCCAAGCATAGGTTTTATCATGTGGGGTGGGACTTAGATCCAATCAGAAGCAGAGTGTTATTAGTTACACCCATGATGCTTATGCCACTACTACACAGTGGGGTGGTGGACGACTACAAGAAAACAATGACACAGCAAGGTAGCTGCATGTCCATGAACTCACAGCAGTTATGAGAGCATTCTCAAGACCTGTGCAAGCCCAAGCCAGACCAAATCCTAGCATGGACAAGGAAAGTGGGCACAAAGTCTCACTCACCCTTAGCTGAAGATAATTTTAACAGCTGCTGGGAGAGAGGGAGTCAGTTTATGTCCTCTTATCGGAGAGTGTAGCCCTTGATAAGTTGACCATGCTCCAGTTGAAGGTCACATACACAAGACCATGTGGGTAGCGCAAACTGGGCTTGATGGGTTAATAAAAAAATAAAACTAACTAAATAAACAGGAACACAAAGTTGGTGGGTAGGGAAGTGAGGAGTAGGTCTGGAAGGAATTAGGGGAAGGTGGATAAACATGATCAGAACATATTGTACGAAATTCTCAAAGAACACACACACACACACACACACACACACACACACACACACACACACACATCTTTAAAGCAGCTTGTTTTTAAGGAAGAGAATTTGACATACGGCATACATGCGCTTGATCATTTTTTTCCCTCAATCCCACTTCATCTACCTTGAAAGTGTTGTCAGTCCCTTCCACATCCTGGCAATGTGGTTGCCTGTCAGTGTTTGTTACCTTGTTATGTAAATTCCTCACATGCATCTGTATCTGCTGGGAAATTTGCCCTGAGACAGAAGAAGCAGATGGCTGAAAGCCATTATCCAGAGGCCATGTGGGTAGGAAGCAGGGCACACTTTGGTCCTTTACCTCTCTTTCCAGGAAGATGGAGGGTCCTAGGGATCCTAAAGAAAGAGACTGGATTCCAGGCATCACTGGGTCTCCCCAGCACTCTACAAGACACTGGTGTAGCATTGCTGCTGAGTGAGTGCGGAATGGACAAAGAGGGCAGAGGAAGTTTTTCATTATTTGTCTATCATCCACTCAAATGAATCTTGAAGAGTCCACATGCCTCTCTGAAAAGAATTAATGAAGAATGTGTCTTGCAGCTTAAGAATCTAATTAAAGGTAGCCCAGGTCACAGAGTATGTAACAAAAGCATTAATTTATGAGGAGAATATATTTTAAAAGGAAAAAGACAGGATATGCAAGCAACAGTACCTTCTCACATATAAGCACACAGGTGGTCTTCTCAGGTAGTTAGCTTTGTCTTTCTCTAAGCTAACAGATGGCTTGAAGACGTGGTTGAGTATGTTAGGGAAAGTGTGTAAATTGGGGCCAGATCGGGCACTTTCTAACAAGGGAGTTTTGTGACGAAGATTATGCAATTGCTTTCACTAGAAAGCACTTTACAACCATGAGACCCCAAACTGTTTAGTTGTAAGCAGTGAACCGGTTGGGTTCTTCCAAGCCTTCTAGCCAGAAGGGCCTCTGAGTCTCACTGAAAGGGTTCAGTCCCTTTTTGGGTACCTGAGAGCCCTTAGCTCCTGGCCTTGGTAGTACACATCTGTCACTCTGAAGGAGTGATTTAGTGATATCAAATAGCCCAGATATTAATCAAGAGAACAAGTGAGCATTTGACAGGAGAGAAGGAAAACACAGCCAAGGTGTGACACAGGGGTAAAACATGTCCCCAGATGTGGACTTTCACGCCAGCCATGCTGTTTGAGGTATAACTCATTGCAAGAGAAAAACCAATGCACTCTACAGGAAAATAAACAACAACAAAAACAAAACAACAAACAAACAGATAACAGTGATTAACATGATCAGGAAAGTCAAGTTTCTTGAGTTATAAGGGAAATTAGCAGGCAGCCACAAACTGAGGTTCTTCTCACCAAAAGCATCAGCAGGTTCTAGAAGTCACAGAAACTGTTCCCATAGTCCTCTGCGTTGATATTACCACCCCTAGCAATGCAACCCTCTCTTATTACCTGCCCCCACCCTCCGCCTTCCAGCTGTAGAACATTTCCTTCTAACAGGAAGGAATTTCCAACGCAGGTGCCACATAAAACCAAAGTGATGCGGATGGAAGCCCTGTCCCTGGGCTACTCTGGTGTATCACCTCCAAGCTGTCTCCAGAGGAGGCTCCGGCACAATTTGAAGCTCTTGGCCCAAGCCCTACTGTGTAGAGGGAGGCAGGGCTATGAGATCCCACTGGAGGGTCTGTGGATCCTCCTGTTCCCCACAGTTTTAAAATCCACAGGAGTGAGGGCAGGGAAACTGGTGTTTTCAGGGAGCTCAGCTGCTGATTTGGGGAACAGGCTGAAAGACATAGCAGTGTTCTTTTCTGATGCCTGTACTTGACCTGCTCCAAGGGACCTCCAAGGTATGCCATTTCATGGGTGGGTAATGCCCAGTTCTATCTACAGCCAGATCAGGGAGAGGCACTGAGTACACACAGAGATGCAGCTGGAAGAGTTAATGAGAGGGATCGAGAAGAGGCTCCTTGACAGGTGGGGCTTGAGTAGAAATAGAGGGCTGGAAATTCAACTCAGCTCACTTCGGTTTTGTAAATAAACATCCTACATGGTGCTCAACAAACCCATGATGTTTCTATCCTGATCACCCCACAGCAGCTTCACTGTTGTGTTATCCTCGAGTCCTCTGGCAGCTTGGCATGCCAATGCCTATTTTTTTTTTTTTTTGTCATTCCTCTGCCGTTTAATAAGTTCCCTGTCCATCACGTCCCCAGTCTGCCAGGGTATGCCTGGTGCATCATAAATACTCAGTAAATATTTCCTGAGTAGGTGGATGAATGTGAGACTAGCTGAGGTCTGGTATGGAGGCAGTGAAGAGTCAAGCATTGTAGGCCATGAGAGGGCCGAGCAGAAACTGGGAGAAGAATGGAGTTACATGGATCGTGTACTAAAATCTGGAGGTCATGCCAGAGTGTCCTGTCTTTCTTCCAGAGACAGTGGGGGAGCTTCTGGATTGATAAGATACAAAGAGATAAGATCAAGATTAGCTTAGGGAAGCTAAGGTGGCAGCAGCACTCAGCAGGGTTACAGGGGACAGAAGCCTGGTGGCCTTTTAGAGATTCTTCCGTCGTCCAGAGGAAGGCAGTGTGACATGGAACTGAAACAGACTTATGGACTTGGGACAAAGGCTCCTTGGGAAGAGGTAGTGGGAAAGGTGGTTTTGCTGGGTGTGCTTGGAGGAGTGAAGGGGAGAAGAGAGCCTGAAACAACTCATCCATGCATCCATCATCCATCTGCTATTATCTATTCACCCATCCATTTATCCACCCATCCATCCATTCATCCATCCATCCATCCATCCATCTGTGATCCATCCATCCATCTGTGATACATCCATCCATTCATCCATCCATCTGTGATACATCCATCCATCCATCCATCCATCTGTGATCCATCCATCCATCTGTGATACATCCATCCATTCATCCATCCATCTGTGATACATCCATCCATTCATCCATCCATCTGTGATACATCCATCCATTCATCCATCCATCTGTGATCCATCCATCATGCATCCATTCATCTATCCATCCATCTATTTGTGATCCATCCTATCCATCCATCCATCCATCCATCTGTGATACATCCATCCATTCATCCATCCATCTGTGATCCATCCATCATGCATCCATTCATCTATCCATCCATCTATTTGTGATCCATCCTATCCATCCATCCATCCATCCATCCATCGGTCATCCACCAATCCATCCATCCATCCATCCATTTATCTGTGATCCACTCACCAATCCATCCATCCATCCATCTGTCATCCACCCATCCATCCATCCATCCATCTATCTGTGATCCACCCATCCATCCATCATCCACCCACCCATCCATCCATCCATCCATCCCTCCATCTGTCATCCACCCACCCATCCATCCATCCCTCCATCTGTCACCCACCCATCCATCCATCCATCCATCCATCCCTCCATCTGTCATCCACTCATCCATCCATCCATCCATCTGTCATCCATCCATCCATCCATCCCTCCATCTGTCATCCACCCATCCATCCATCTATGATCCACCCATTATCCATCCATAGGAATGGCTGCAAGTGGAAGAGCAGAAGAAGCTGCTAAGGAGTTGGTCATGGGTGTAAAGAGGGGAGGCTTCAAGGAAAGAACTTTAGAGAAATCCTGCTCTTAGGAGATGAAGAGGTAAAGGAGGAAGAGCAAGAAGCAATAAGACAGACAGGCAGTGAAACTGGACTGTGGAAAGTGTTGCCAAAGCTGAAGAAGATGCATTGCCACCCATGCCAGAGGGGACTTCCCTTGCTTCAGAGACTTCAAGACACAGTTGGTGCTGTGGAGGAACAGAGGGCAACTGAGGTAGCATTAGGGAGGATGAAGAAGTGGGGGTCACTGGCATCTTTCAGGTTCTGAGGCTGGCTGGCTGGAGGGTAGGTGAAGACACAGGCAGCCTGGAACACAAAGAACCGAACTGTCAGAATCAGGAGACATGAGTGTGGCTGAGTTTGAGGGGAAGGGGAAGCAGTCTCTGTAAAAAGACAGAGTGGGAAACTGATATTCCCAAAAGGTCCCTAAAAGAGAGTTGCCAAATTGTTAACCTCTTAACAATTCCTGAAAAAGGTTTGGGGAGACATCTGAAGCCCTTCCCAGGTGAGTCATCCAGATGTGGTGATATATTGTGTACCCCAATAAACTTGCCTGAGGATCAGAGGACAGAGCCAGCTATTAGATTAGACACAGAGTCAGGCAGTGGTGGCACACACCTTTCATCTCAGCACTTGAGATCTCATGCCTTTGCTTGGAAAGTACACATACCTTTAATCCCAGGAAGTAATATGGCAGGGCAGAGAAGGGTATATAAGGCGTGAGGAAACAGGAACTCACTCTCATTAGGCCGAGGATTTTGTAGAGGTAAGAACTAGTGGCTGGGTGTTCTGCTTCTTGGATCTTTCAGCTTTCACCCTGATATCTGGCTTTGGTTTTTTATTTATTTTATTTTTATTAAAAGACCATCTAAGATTCGAACAACATCCAGGGGCATCCCTAACTCTGTAGGAAGTCTGAGGGTGAGGGAGGAGGCAAGGACCTTCTACCACACAACCTTTGGCAAGCCTCAAGGCCAGTGTCTTCTCTGAAACAGTCTAACCCTATCACCAGACAGCAGAACAGAGCACTATCCTGAGGGCTGACCGTGAGAGAATCACTCCCATTCCCAGAACCCTGGTCTCCTGTGGCTGCAGAACCCAGTCCTTCCCACCCACCTCCAGTCCTGGTCTACAAGATGTCTTTCTCTGGCTCCGTACTCTGGGGACCCTTGAGTTGTCAGACTGCCTGCTGTTTCTTCATAGATAGCCCTGTAACCCCAGGTCTTCCCACCAAGACTCTTTTGGGAAGACTCGATGCTCAGAGACCCATCTGGGAAGAGCCTTCTGGAGACATGCAGGTAGGGATATGATAGGAAGCCCACCAGGCGTCCTGGCTACCCCTGAGTGGCACCTACAAAGGCTGGAAAACACATTCACTCACTCACTCCACAGAAGCACGCCAAGAGTGAACTATTAAAACAGCACCGGGAATTCTGAGTGAACAAAACCAGACAAAACTCAACAATAAACAAAACTGATCAGCAAAATGCTATTGAGAGGAGGCACGCTGCATAGGAGTAGTCAGGAGTAGCTCTGCGGTGGCTGTAAAAGTTAAGGGACCTCAATTGACTTCTTGGCTGAGCCCCCTCCTTTCCGGCCTGGGGAGCTAGGGTGCGAGGATGCAGTTCTTCAATATCACCACGAGGGGGAGCGCGGTCCCCTCCTAGCGCCTTCCCAACCCTCCCGCACAGCCTTGCAAGCAAAAGTTTTTCTTAAACTAACAATGCCAGTGTAAGGAGGTGCTCGCGCCTGATTGGATGAGGGAATTTTGCAGGTTTGATTCCTTGATTGGACAGGAGGTGTTAGGGGTGGAGAGAGAGCTGATGGTGGGGGATCCCGCTCCCTCCCCCGTCAGTCTGGCCCGCTCTATCCTCCCGTAGGCTCCGCTGTAGCTCGCAATGTGACACCAGGACGCACACGCTCTCGCGCGCTCTCCCAGGCTCGCTCTCCCTCACCCTCTCTCACACACGCACGCACACACCCACCTCTCCCATAAACACACACACACACATGCACACCCACATCCACGCGCGCCCGCACCGCCCCACGCGCGCACACTCCCGCCCACGCCCACGCCGCGCTCCGGGGAGTCCGGTCCCGGCCAGAGCGAGAAAGGACACGGAGAAGCCACCCGCCGGGAGCGCAGCGGCGCCCCGGGACGCGGCGCGTCTCGGCTGGGGCTCGGCCTGGGGGCCGCTGGCCGGCGATGGCCCTGGATTGCCTGCTGCTGCTCCTCCTGGCATCTGCAGTGGCCGCGATGGAAGGTAACGTACCCTTCGTGGCGCAACTTGGTGGCTGCCAGCTGCCAGTTCCCGGGTGTCGCACGCTTCTCGGGGCTCCTTTGGTTGCTCGGCGTAGTCAGGCATCCTGGTGCCTGAGGGCAAGGATGTCCCAGAGCCTGGGAGGAGACGGGGCACCGGGCTAGGGCGGTACCCACAGGTATGCCCCCGGCCGACCCTGGGCACCCGCCGCTGGTTCGCAGAGTCTCCATGCTCCGCGCCCCGGTGCTCCCAGACACCACGATCCCCGGACATCTCCGACTCGGAGAGCTCGGAGCCCGCTGCACTGCGGTGCAAGCTCCTTAGCTCCGGGAGAAGCTGGTCTGGGAAGGGATACCTCGGGCCACGGGGCTCCTAGAGTGGGCACCTTGGGCTCTTTCATTGCCGGGCCTGGATGCGCTGGCGAGCGGTGGCGCGCCGCCTCCCTTTCCCAGCTCGCTCGCAGTCTGATGCTCGGGACTCTGGGCTCGGCAGGCTAGAGCTGCGCGCGGGGGATCAGAGAAGCTTTGAGCCGGTACCCTGCAAGTGGCTGGCAAGCAAGGGGGGGCCAAGTCCATTGACCGCACCCTAGGGGGATCAGTCTGAGAACCTGCGGGGCTACAATCTTCCAGAGGCAGCAAGAGCGAGATGGACACATTTCTCGCCTTCTGAGCTTTGGAGCAGGGGTGGGCTGGGGTGAGTGCCGATCCTGCCTAAACTCATCTCCAGGAGAAGAGACTGCGTGGTTGCGAGCCCACTAGCAGCGACACCATCCCTGCTGGCTCAGCGTGGTTGTGCCTCCGGCTGGTGTCCAGCCAAACCCGCTCAGCGGACCCCTTGCGGGGCGCACCCGGGAGCTCAGGCACTCAAGGCGCTCGCGAATCCCTGTGGGAAATCCCTGCTCGCCTCCCCGCCTCCCGCCCCCTTCCCCGCCCCCAATCTTCCCAGCTGAGCTGCGGTGCCCGCCACCTCCTGGGGGGGCATCTCGGCAGGGGAGCAGAGTTAGTTAGCTGGAAGGGAGCAACTCGGGGGTGAGGTTCCGTCACTTCTGCTCCACTCTCCGATGGATGGAGGTCGCTTGCCAGGCGGACTCCACCTGGACACACGGGGTGGAAGGGTCGCAGCTCCCGGTTTCCCCTGCTGCGTTTCCATCTGAGAGGTCGCTTGCCAGGCTGACTCCGCCGGGTAGCGGGTTCCAGGTGAACTGACCCGCTCAGTTGAAACTCCATACCAATATTGGTCCAGTGTCCCTGACCCTTCCAGAAAGCACTGCTCCTTTCCAAGAGAAGCGGGCATACCCCCACGCCCCACCGGGTCACAGCAGCGAAGATGTCTTAGCCATGGCAAAGACTACCGCCACTGCCCGGTACCTGTGGTTATGGTGACGAGAGGAGCAGGGACTAATGTATGTAGAAAGCTTTCTCTCGCTTTCCCCAAGGTGGCTTTTTGTTTGCCCTCGGCTTCCTGCTGCCCTGCCAGGCTGCCGGTCTTCGTGTGTGTGTGTGTGTGTGTGTGTGTGTGTGTGTGTGTGTGTGTGTGTGTGTGTGTGTGTGGTGTGACTTTTGGATTGTGCAGGGTTTAGACTGGCATGGAGTGTGGTCAGCGCCCCAGCGTGGGCCTGAGGTTGACTCATCGGGAGACACGTGCAGAAGCAGTTGAAATAGAAAGGGATAGATAACAACCCCGCAACAAAGCCAGGCGAGAGCAACTGCAAGGCGGGGTGGCCTACAGGACTGTGTGGGCTGGGGTGGCTGGCGACACGTCGGTCTGGGGCTGCTCAGGTCTACCACTCTTAGCGTCTCTGCAGGGTCGAGGATTCGGTCTCAGATGGATGTCCACTTTAGGAAGTCTGCTCTTGGCTTTGAGTCTCAATAGATGGAGGGGACGTATATATAGGTGAAATAGTTTGCAAAGCAGTGTATGGAACAAGTCGGGCACCAGGACACATTCCTCCCCAAACACCCCCCCCCCCACTAGCCCCTTTGCCTTCGCGATGGAGCTACGCACGGGTGCCATTGTGTCCGTTCAGCCTGGTGTACAGGGCTGTGTCACCCAGGCCTGGTGGCAGGAGCCACTTCAGAGCTGTGGCCTCCTCTCGGTGTAGGGTTGGGGGGACTTTACCAGTTGCTTGACAGGAAAGCCTTATTCTGTGGTTTGAAAATCTCTGTAAGGGTTAAAAGAAATACCACATTCAGCAGAATATTCAAGCGGCGCCTTGTCCCTGCTAAGCGTGCAGGGGTAGAACACACCATTCGCTTCCTCTTTTTCTCCAATGACAACGGGCAGGTTCCTTTTCTCCTCTCCACACACAGAGCCGCCTTCCCGCCTGCCTGCCTGCCTGCCTGGGTTGGGGCCAGCCTCATTTGGTTTGTGATGAGTACAGAATAATTCTCAGAGGAGTGGATCAATGAGCTGCCTACCCAGACCGCAGGCCCTCCCCAAACTCTGCTCCGGGGGAAGGCAGTGTTCTTGGTGATCTCAGCCACTTGTGTGTCTGTCTTCTTCCTGGGAGCTCTGGGCTGGATTTCGGGCAGGTTCTCAGTTTAAGCTGGGGCAGGCGCAAAAGAGCCGCGTCTGTCATGTGTGGTCCAGATGGGGAGATGTGGGCCAAGGAAGGCAGGTCCTTATGTGACCTATGGCTGGGTGAAGGAAGGAAGGCAGGAGAGAAAGAAGGGAGGGAGGGAGGGAGGGAGGGGGAAATAGCTAGTGTGTTCCAGGCTCTTCTCCACCTTGTCTAACAGGGGGGCATGGACTGGGTGGGGGTGGAGGGGTTCTCATTTACATGCCACCAGGCAGGAAGCTGGTTGGCCCTTCTGTGGGAAAAGCAGACTGAAGGAGAGCCATCCCTCCCTCCTCCCTCCTCCCTCCTCCCTCCTCCCTCCTGCCTGTCTCCCTGCAGCCAGTGTGCTCTGTGAGGTGGGGGAGGATACAAGCAGCCCAGGGCAAAGGCTTGCTGGGCTTCCTGCCTTGGCTTTCAGAGGGGAGTGAGATAGATGGGGAAAAGCTGCTGACACCCTCTGGGCTTCTGGACCCTGACAAACCCTTGCTTCTCCCAGCCTCTGCCTTTTCATCCTAGTCAGGACCCATGAAGCCAGAGCATGGCCTCTGGCTTTTTGTCCCTAACTCTGTCACTTGGAGACTGTCACCCAGACCACCTGGCTTCAGTGCCCTGCACTATCCAGTAGATTTCAGGCCTACCCACTCCAGCCTTAGATGCTGGGACCAGTGGTATCCATTCTGAGAACATATTCTGTACTGTGTTAAAAAGAGATACTACTGAGATTAAAAAGACACTTGTATATGAAGTTGAAAAAAGCCATCTATAGCTAGTCTGAAAGAGTTCTCTGCAGCATGAAGACTCAAGAAAATCATGTTATTCTAGCATGGGAAAGAGAGACAATTTTTGAAACTCCCAAGAGGCACAGCCATTGCAGGCAGGGCTTCTAAGATGTCTGGAAGCCTGTGTATGCCCGAGCAACTTCCTGAAAGTTCTTGGCTCCAAGTTCAGAAGGTTTGGATGAGTTCTGAACATTTGGACTTTGTGTAGGTTTCCTAGAAGATGCCGGTGCACATGCCTCCTGAAAACGCAGGTCCACATCAGAGTGCAATCTAAAATTTGGGCAGATTTTACTTCAGTCTGCACTGACTGAGTTGGAATGGCTTGGGTATCTGCAGTTTTAGCAAAATGCTCGGTGGTTGAGAGACAGGCAGCCCGATGCCAGTAGATTTCGAAACTGCTGGTGAGAAGTATTCTGATACCCCCCAACCCCTCCCTCAGTTTTTACCAACCCTACCAAATAGGTCTTATTTTTACTATCAAGACCTGTCCCATTTTATAGATGAGAAGCCTGAGACACAATTCAATAAAGATACGTGCCTGGTAAGTGGTTGAGCGAGGCAGTCAGGTTGTAGGGTCTGTACTCTTACCCACACTGCCTCACTCCACCTCAGAGCATAGAGTGTGCATGTAGGAGGTTCAGCCTGCCTTCATGGGTGGGACAAGCTTGGTGCCAGCTCAGCCAGTGGCTGTTGGGGTCTTCACTGACCAGTGGGGATTCCAGGTTTCCACAGAAGAGAAGAGATGAGTGACATGATTCAACACTGAAGATAAAGAACTAGCCCCCACAAAGCTCCCCTGTGCCTCTCCTCTGGACACACAGAGACCAGTGTCTCAAAGGAGATGGCCCAGGCCCTTACCTGTCACCACATGACCGTCTGGAGCACACCTCTCACCTGGATTCCAGGAGTCGATATCCTTGGAGAAACTCCTTTTATCTCTCCCTCTTCTGCACTAGCCACTTAAGGAACCTGAATATTTCTATTAAATTTTCCTGTCTCCAAAGATGGTGGAGAAACAGAGCATTGGATGTCTGCCCTTCTGAGGAAATTACTATAATAATAAAGTAATGCCTTGGGAGAGATTTCATATTTAAAAGAAAAATTTTGCATGTGAAATGCCTCCCTCTGTCTGCAGATTCCGCTTCAATTGCAGTCCTAGGTGGGGCCTTTGGCTTCCTGTTCAACTGCACTGAAAGGGGCACTGAGAGGCTGGCTCGGGGACTTCTGCACCATCCAAACCCCTGATGTTTGGGATCATCTTGCTGAGTTGTTGGTCACATCTCTGAAGGTTAAATTGTAAAGGACACATCTTCCAGGGAGGCCTAGAGGACAGTGAATGGGTCCTTTGTGTATGGAAATCTACTTTCCGTTGAAACCAAGGCTGAGGAATCAGTCAGATGCATGATCTCACTCCCCTTCCTCATGCCTTGGTTTCTTCAATGTTGAGTCAGACTGAGGGAGGGCCATGTAGAGAGAAGAGCAGAAACACAGAGCTGGCCTCAGCTGAAGCAGTGGTAGGCAGATTGATAACTTCAAACAAAATCCTAGGATCCATGGATCCTCACAGGCATTTGAGAATTCTGTGTCTGGGTATCCTAGACTAATAAGGAAAAGGAACTTGGTCAGGGTCAAGAAGGGCCTTGGCCCAGCACTCCCATAGGGACCCTATCCTCAAGGAACCTCAGCTGCAAGTTTAGGCAGTGCAGGCAATATGGTGTCATGGTCCCCACCGGCACCATGGGGGAATGATCTGCCAGGTGCCTCTCAGGTACCTTAGATGTGTTTGTCTCTGATTTCTTTAGTGAGTTTTCATCTCCATCTCAGCCCAGCAAATGGGTCTGTTGTTACTTTCTGTGATGCTGTGACAAAAACAGCTGACACAGATGATGTAAAGCAGGAAACACTTATTTTTCTCATGGTTTTGGAGGACTCATTCACCTTCAGGGGAAGGGAGGCTTGTGGAGGGGTCCATATCATGATGGAGGGAGAGGATGCTCTGAGGAGGGCTAGCCTTGTCCTCTCCTCTCTCCCCTCCTTTCCCCAGGTCAGTGCCCTCAGCCCAGAGCACCACCCACAGTCAGGGTGGATGCTCCCCCATCAGTTAATATTCTCTGGAGAAGCAGACACACTCCATTGTCTCATCAACCCCTTAGCAAATCTAATCAGGTTGGCCATGCATTCACCCTCACGGGCACATCTCATTCTGCCGTAGCGGTCCACTCCCACCCCGAGCACCTTCTTCAGCTGTTCTCTTACTTTCTAGCAAGTGTGGATGGGAGTGTTAGGGAAAGATGCCCTCAGCTGACGACCAGGGGACCTTCACTAGACTCTAATGACCCTGCTGGTGACTCGAGCAACAGGGTGGCATACTCGCTAAAGGGGACAGAAGGGATGGAGGAGCAGGCCCTGCTTCTCTCTCTGTCGCCCGCACAGATGTTTCCCCAGGTCAGGTGAAATCTCTGCAGCTGCAGACAACACCATTAACAACTGCTTAAGGAGGCCGCTGGTAGAAGGCTCCCCCAGCGTTCTCTGTGGCAGAACTGGGCCAATGTGAAAACATCTAGGAGATTTCCCGAGAATTACCAGGACTCATTTCTGCCCACAGATTGCACCTGAGGCCTTGTGTCTCTCATCTCTCCCCTCCTGCTTTCTGGCAGCAAGTGACAAAATGACTGATTTGAATTTAACCTCTTTGCTCTGCTTCTCTGTCCCCTGGTGGAGGTGATAATGAGCAGAGAAATGGGCAGAGGTGGGTGGTCAGGAGGGGCGTGGGCAAGCAGAGGAGAGCAGGGTCCTTAACACTAGCTTCCAAGGTCTCTGCACTGGAAAGACAGACACACTCCATCGGTTGCTTAAGGGGTTACTAAAGCTCGAGAGAGCGTGCGGCAGGTGCGCCTCCTCTGTGGTCTCCACACAATGGAGACAGAAGAAGAGACAAGATTTAGGCAGGAGACAGACTGTCCTGGAGCCACCCAGCCTGGTGGTGCTAGAGGCAGAACTGGACTGTGCTTGCACCCACTCACAGAACACAGAACACATGTGTGGATGTATATGCCCTCAGCATCTGGGCGTCTGTTCTGGGGTACAGGTGAGGGAGCTAAGGCCTGCACAGGTTAACTGCCTTCAGCTAAGAGCCCAACTGATTTGCTAAATTCTCAACGTGGCACCCTTTCTACTTATCATTGCTTTTGTGTGGATTAAAATCGGGAGCTTTTACTTCAAAACCATGAACCTTTGGCCCCTTGTCCTGCCCGATGCCATTTAAGGTTCCGGATGGCCACTCTTTCTGTGTCTGCTATTGGGTCTCTTCTCGATGTGGAGAGCAGCCCCAGCTGTTCTGTAGGCTGGAGAACAACCTCAGAGTTTATGTCTCCCGTTTGCATGCTCTTTCCAAGAACCTCACCTTACCCCTGGGGTCACAGATTGGTTTCTTTTGCCACAGGTCCTCTGGGTCTTGTCTTCGTTGAGTTCAGGAGCTCAAAGGCAGCGTGGAATCCAGTAGTCAGGGGTGGTGGTGGTGGTGGTGGTGGTGGTGGTGTGTGTGTGGCGGCGGCGGCGGGGGGCGGGGGCACTGTGCAGGTTTCCTGGGGCTCTGTCCACGGTCTCACCAACAAAAGCAGGGCCTGAGGTAGATGGGTGCCCCTGTTTCTTCCCGAGGGCCCTGCCCTACCTGTCTTAGCCTAGGCCTTGCGGTTCCCTGACTGCCCAACCACTCCCTTTCCGCTGGCGAGCTGCAGACTTCAAAGGGAGGCACTGGACGGAGAACCTCAGCTCTGGATGTGGGAATCCCTCAGCATCTCACTCTCTGGGCAGTGGCTTGTCCTCTGAGGGTCATGGCTGCGAACAGGACCAGCAGGAAGATGGGCAGTGGCAGCAGAGAGGCTGCCTTATCTGAGAGCCACAGCTGGGCGCTGCAGTTAATTGTTCTTAGCTTCCCCTCTGCGTTTCTCCAGCACATCAGCATAAGGCCTTGGCCTTTGTCCCTCTCACTGACGCTGAGGGAGGCCGGAGCTGGGAGGGGAGCTGGGGGAGAGGGGAGGGGCCTCGTTCCAGGTGCTCTTGAACCTGTTTCTGCTCCTGAACTAGGCTGTCTGCTCTTCTGGCCACAGGACTAGAAGCCCCTCCAGGGTTTCTCCATCTCTGAGGATGAGTGCACTACAGAGACAGGGGTAATCAGTAAGCTTGGAGGAAAAGAATGGGGTGTCAGCATCACCAGAAAATTCATTAAGTTTGTAGGAAGTACCAAGAGGTCACTGCTGAGAACATACTCTGGGTGTCTCAGACCATGACTTGCTAATTGGTGTCAACATAGTC